AAATTCGCGAGCTACTCGATTAAGCTCGACTTGTTTGCACCCTTAGTTAGAAAGTACAGCTTAGATTGAAGAATTACAAGAAAGTATGCTGTGCCATGGTTTATTCGGAGGTTATCTTGTTACACTTTCTTTAACAAAACATGTTGCGTCATGGTTCATAGGAAAAGATTTGCTTTATTTACTCAAAGAGGAAGAAAAGTCTGTGTTGGGGTGAGGGATAGAAAGCAAGAGAGTGAGACAGAGTAGAAAAATCAGAAAGTTGAAGGATCAAGGGATTCTTCCATGAATAATTATTCTCTTGATGTAGTGAATGGTTTTTCGAGGAGAAAAATTTTATATGAGTATTATTTTGGTACTTTTTTCTTTTTTGTAGACATGAGATTCTTCAATTTTTGCGCTTTGTTGCTATTAGAGTTGCAAACGAGTCGATTCGAGTCGAATTTTGGTTTAATCGATCTGAATCTTGATTTAATTTTATCAAATTTGAACTCGATCTCGAGTTCGACGAGGTGCTAATTTAAAGTTCGAACTCAAATTTAACTCGAATTCGAGTCGAGCTTGAGCTCGAAAAGAAAATTATTTTATTTTCTTAAAAAATAATATTTTTTAAAAATAATTATTTTATTTTAAAAAATAAATAAAATAATATTTTTTCTTAATAAATAATAAAATATTAGGAATATATATAAGTTTACTATTAATATATATATTTATATATATACTTGAACTTGCGAGCCAACTCGTAAATTAACGAGTTTAATATTTTTGAACTAGAATTCGAGCTCGAATTTAATTTGACTAGCTCGAGCTGAACTCGAGTTCGATAACTTTGACTCGAGAGGCTCGCAAGCAGTTCGATTTGTTTGCAACTCTAGTTACTACACTTGTAATGATTAATCCATTTTATGCTTCCAATTTTGACCTAATATCAATTATCCTTGAATTTGTAAATTTAAATGGGCATGTCTATATTTATTGATCCGTGCTTCCAATTTGGTCCGAATTTAGTAGGGTACTATGTTTTAGATTGTTTGAATCATTATTATTTGGTGTAATTTTCTTGTTCTGAAGCATATTAAAATGAAAAAAAAAGAAATGAAAAGGAATTGAACCCCATCCATTTGTACACTTGTTAAATGGGGGACAAGTTGATTACCATTTATTCTATAGGAGTTATTATTGGGATCCAGGCACAGAACAAATAACTATTAAAAACATCAAGTATATAACAATTTAATGATAAATAAGTCACAAGTATGAAAGATAAGTGATACACAAGATTTAACGCAATTCGCTTCCATCATTGAGTCTATGTTCACGAAAAAAAAAACCCATTCTTTATTATAAAAAGAAAAATCTATAAAAAAATACAACTTGAACTTAAATCTAAACCCTTGAATACTATCTCTCAACTTTTGAGAAACCTCTTTCACTTTATGTATAAGGCTACATGTTGCTTCTTGTGTATCACTTTGTAATATGTTAATTCCCACCTATTTATAAATTACCTTATGTAGACAGTGGAATTTTAATTAATTTTTAAAATTATCATTGGTCTATAAATTATTTTTGTGGCTTATTTCTATCCAATCGGATCTTGCCATATGTCATGTACACTTGAAAAATTTGGTTATTAAATGGCCAATTATATTTCTCCATGTGTCAAATTGAGGTGTTCCAAATCAATTCAAATTGCAGGGATATCTTCACCAACCAAATCATATCATATCACATGCCTATTGAATAAATATCTAAGTATTTATTTCTTATTAAAGGGATAATATTTAGAGTTGTTTAATCCAAGTATATTTCTTATATACTGCAATAGTTTGGCCAATCAGACGGCGCCACGTCGTATGGCCCCACGAGTTTGGCCAATCGAGGAGTTACTTATCTCTTTATTAATAAATATAAAATAAAAAGATAATATTTGACTGGTACAGTCCTAATATGACTGTACGTCTTGCAAGACAAGTAAAATAGTACACAGGTCTTCAACCTCTACCTCTTGCTACAACTATGAATATGGGTCTCTCAATCAAATAAAAAATACACACAGACACAGATACACAGAGACACCAAGAGGCATCTCATACGCTCAAAGCATTGAAACTCCAAGCTACAAAGGTCCGGCTCTTCAAGCTCTCCAAGTCTCCCATATATCAAGACTTGAGTCTTCAAATATCTTCTAAAGTTCTTCAAATCTTCTATATCAAGATTTGAAGGAATCGGTGGTGGATCCAAGAACAAGCTGCGAAGCCCTTGGATTGGCGTTCGAGGAGGAGAATCGAGGGAAACTTTCCACAAGTTTGAGAAAATCCCAGAGATTGTATTCACATATTTTTCTTAAATTTATATATCACACATTTGTCTTGTATATTTCTTGTTTATTGCAGACTTGAAATTTTATCGCGTACAAATTTTTGGCACGCCCGGTGGGACCATCTCTGCCTTCCATCTCTTCTTTTCGAATATTCAACTACATACATCATCAATGGCACCAAAGAGCAACAAAATCATGATTGCACGTTCCAGGGCTACTGATGCTAAGCCTGTTCAGAAAGCTGCACATGTTGCCACCAATACCCGCGCTATTGGTCCTGTGATAAGAAATATGACGAGAGCCTTCACCCAAAGTAGCATGGAAGCTCCATCGGCGCCAACTCCCGTCTTCGGTTCAACATCACCAATGAGCTATTCTTCCATGATGGGGATCCAAGACGTTCCTACCTCGATTGAGAAGGCTCTTGCTATGCTCGAATTTGGATCCGAATCCAAGTTTTCTAAGCATGACGATGATTCATCAAGCACTGGATCAGCCTCTTTACATGAAACGCTTCATTCAAGATTTTCTATTGAAGATTCTGCTGCTTCTTCTGCTGCAATGCCTGCCATGATGACAAATACTTTAAATCTCGAAAAGCAAGTTTCGAACATGTCCAAAATGATGGAAACCATGATAAAACACATCAAGGACCATGATGCTCTCATTGCTCAACTGCTCACCCAGAAAGATCACGCTCCTGAAGGAAGTCATGCAAACCAAGAGCGTGAAATTCCCTCATCTAAAGGCAAAGACAAGGTGAAGGAAGTATATGTGACCGCCGATGGAACTATCCCTGTGGAACAACTGAAGGAACTTGTTGAAGGCATGATCAAAGATAAAAAGGAGGGTGGTTCAAAGTCAAGCTTTACCTACTGCAAGCCTTACACTGCTAGAATCGACAACCTCGCAATGCCTGCTGGATATCAACCGCCTAAATTTCAACAGTTCGATGGGAATGGTAGTCCAAAACAACATATGGTCCATTTTGTCGAAACCTGCAATAAAGCTGGAACCTATGGTGACCTGCTAGTCAAACAGTTCGTTCGATCCTTGAAGGGCAATGCGTTTGATTGGTACACTTATCTCACTCCGGGGTCCATCGACAGTTGGGAACAGCTGGAACAAGAGAACCGCTTCTACAGCACTAGAAGAACCGTTAGTATACTGGAGTTGACTAACACTCGTCAATGGAAGGATGAACATGTGGTCAACTACATCGATAGGTGGAGAAGTCTGAGTCTCAACTGCAAGGACAGACTGTCTGAACCCTCTGCCATAGAAATGTGCATCCGAGGAATGCATTGGAGCCTAAGCTACATTCTACAGGGTATACGCCCAAACACATTTGAAGAATTAGCTACTCGTGCTCATGATATGGAATTAAGCATCACGGCCAATGCAACTGATGGGTTTCCTATTCAAGCTCCGCGAGTGCAGCCACTTCGTCAAAGCAATGAAAGGCAAGAAAATAAAAAAAGGGGCAAACCTCCTTCAAAATTCAGTAATAAGGAGTCCATGGCAATAAACACAACTCCCACGAAGATTGCCACCAAGGTGAGCCGAAAGATCACCGAAAATGTAGACTCCCCTCAAAATAGGTCGGTAAGAAGACCTATTCTAAAAGAAATGCAAGAAAAGAAATACCCCTTCCTTGAATCCGATTTACAAGGGATGTTCGATGATCTTTTCAAGGAGAAAGTCCTTGAACTTCCCGACATGAAGCGCCCAGAGGAAGGCGGTCAAGTCAATGATCCAAATTATTGTTGTTATCATCGCTTGATTAGCCACCCTCTCATTAAATGCTTTGTCTTTAAAGACAAAATTATGGAATTGGCCCGTCAAGGGAAAATCCTTCTCGAGGAAGATAAAGTATCGACAAACCAAACAACAATAATGTTTGAGTCTGTGTGTTGTCCGATAGAAGTTTTATCCACATCAAGTAGTGCTTTGTCTAAGGAGTTTGAAAATCCTCAATTGAAGACGTTATTGAAGATGACAACGAAGGATGGACTTTAGTCACTCGAAAGAGAACTTGCAAGCTAAAAATAAAGAAGTACATCTTTTCGAAAAGCATTCGTTCGACAAAGTCTAAAGTGATAATGAAACAACGAAAAACAACAAAGAAACAAAAAGGAGTGGCCACAACGCCAATTTCTTCCGATTTTCAGCTCCTTCAAGGGATTCGACAGCCCGTGACATTGAGAGAATTTATACCAAAGGGGTATTTAAGTGACGATACTGATAACTCCACTTCTTCTAATGTCGTCAAAGCTGAAAATCCTCAAATCACACAAATTGGCACTAAATTTGAGGAAAAACTCAAAATCGATAATAAACCACCGGTGGATTGTGCAACGACCATTATGTTTTATGATGACGATTTAACTGTTGAATTCAAAACGCACAATCGACCTTTGTTTGTTAGTGTGTATGTCCGAGAACAGAAGATGAATCGGATACTCATTGATGGAGGATCTGCTGTCAATATTATGTCCGTACGTACTATGAAGGAACTAGGAATCTCAAGCGATGAACTCTCTCAGAGCCGCCTCATGATTCAAGGATTTAACCAAGGGGGTAAAGAGCAATTGGTCTCATAAGACTTGAATTGCTCATTGGTAAGTTGTCTTCAAGTGCGTTATTTCATATCATTGAAGCCAAAACCTCTTATAATATGCTCTTGGGACGACCCTGGATTCACGAGAATGAAATTATACCATCTACCCTGCATCAATGTTTCAAATATTGTCGAGGCGGTATAGTTAAGAAAGTTGTTGCCGATGATAAACCTTTCACTGAGGCCGAGACTCACTTTGCCGACGCTAAATTTTACCTTCAGAAAGAGGCAAAAAGAAAAGAATCAGTAAAGGAAGAAAGGCAAGATTTCAAAGGATCCATTTTGCGGTATATTCCAAGATCAAGGAGAGAAGAAGGCCAGTCTTCTTTTATTAGGAATGATACATTAAATGTTCCGCTCACCAAGATAGAGCCTGTTAAAAATGAGAAAGCTAACTCGCAAGGATTTGTACGTCCCAAAGAAGAATCGGCAGTAGAACATTACTCACTACCAACTAATCGGACTCAAGAAAGTTTTGATCCAAACGCATACAAACTTCTTACTAAGGCCGGTTATAACCCAAATGAGAAGCATGCATTAGGCAAACTCCCTCCTGAGGTGACTTGCGAGAAAACTCATGGGTTAACACCTACGCAGAAAATGTTGAAAGAAAAAGATTATAATGTTGAAAGTTCATCGATGGGTCTTGGTTATCAACCGCCTTCTCCAGTGCGTATAATGATTAAAAGGGCAAGTTGTAACTACGTGAACGAGGAAATGGAGGTCACAAGCCGAAGGAGATCTGTGTTTGATAGGTTGGGAAATAAGTCAAAGCGTACTTCTGTGTTTGACAGACTTGACCCGCAGCCGAAAAATTTGAAACCGCCTATCTATGAAAGATTAGGCAGTAAAAAGCAAGAGTACCAAGTTGCCAAGGAAGAAAGTCTTACTCCAATAAAGAAGAACGGACCAAGAAAGCGAGTCTCCAATTTCTTCATGCACTACGGAGACTTATTCAATGTAAGAATTGAAACCATTTTTGAAGAACAGGATCAAGAAAATATGGCTTCCTGTCATCATATTACGATTAGTGATCCCGAAGAAGAAGAAGAAGATGCAGATGACGCTTCCCCTGAACTTGAACAAGGGATAAAAAATACAGTCGATGCGCTAAAAGAGATTAACCTTGACACAAGCGACGATCTTCACCCAATTTACATAAGCTCTTGTATGACTCCTGAAGAAGAAAAAGAGTATGTTGATTTGCTGCTCGAGTTCAGGGACGTCTTTGCCTGGAATTACTCAGAAATGCCTGATTTGGATCCAAGGGTCGCCGTTCATAATTTGTCTGTCAAGCGAGGAACAAAACCTGTCAAGCAAACTCAAAAGCGCTTTCGGCCCGAATTAATTCCTCTGATAGAAAATGAGATAAATCGATTGATTGAAACCGGATTCATACGAGAAGTAAAATATTCAACATGGATTTCAAGTATCGTCCCTGTAAGGAAGAAGAATGGGCAAATTCGAGTTTGTGTTGACTTTCGAGACTTAAACGAGGCTTGCCCCAAAGATGATTTTCCTCTCTCTATCACAGAATTGATGGTAGATGCTACAACCGGGCATGAAGCACTATCTTTTCTCGATGGATCGTCCGGTTACAATCAAATACGCATGGCGCCCGAGAATGAGGAGCTCACTGCCTTCCGCACCCCCAAGGGAATTTATTGCTATAAAGTAATGCCGTTTGGCTTGAAAAATGCTGGAACGATATATCAAAGGGCAATGCAAAGAATATTTGATGATATGCTCCATAGAAATGTGGAGTCCTACGTTGATGATCTTGTGGTGAAATCAAAGAAGCGAGAGGATCATATTTAAGACCTTCGAAGAGTTTTCCAACGCCTTCGGAGATACCAACTGAAGATGAATCCTTTGAAGTGCGCATTCGGAGTCACTTCTGGCAAGTTTCTCGGTTTCATCGTTCATCAACGGGGAATAGAGGTCGATCGATATAAAATTGATGCTATTATGAACATGCCTGAACCGTGAAATATTCATGAATTGAAAAGCCTTCAAGGGAAGTTGACATATATCCGGAGGTTTATCTCTAATTTGTCCGGACGATGCCAACCCTTTAGTCGGCTGATGAAAAAAGAGGTACCCTTCGAGTGGGATGAATCGTGTAGGATTGCTTTTACAAGCATAAAAAAATACCTCATGAATCTCCCAGTGCTGGCTGCACCCATTCTAGGAAAATCATTGATTCTATATATTTCCGCACAAGAACGGTCGGTTGGGGCCTTACTTGCTCAAAAAAATGATGAAGGTAAGGAGAATGCGCTGTATTACTTGAATCGGATGATGACATCTAATGAGTTGAATTACTTACCCATCGAGAAGTTGTGTTTAGCACTTATATTTGTCATTCAGAAGTTGAAACATTATTTTCAAACACATACTATTCGACTCATATCTAAGTCTAATCCCATTAAATATGTCATGACAAAACCTGTACTGTCTGACCGACTCGCGAGATGGTACCTTCAGTTTCAACAATTTAAAATTATTTATGTACCTGCGAAGACTGTCAAAGGACAAATATTGACAGACTTTTTAGCCAATCATCTCATACCTGCCGAGTGGGAGTTGACTGATGAATTCCCCGATGAAGAAGTGTTTATGGTCGAATCCCCATGGTCAATGTATTTCGATGGAGCCGCGCACCGTGACGGAGTTGGTGCAGGAGTTATCTTTTATACTCCTGAATCAGATATATTACCATACTCTTTCACTTTAACACGTCGGTGTTCAAACAATATGGCCGAATATCAGGCATTGATTCTCGGTCTGGAAACGGCCGTAGACATGAAGCAGTTGAATCTTAGGGTCTATGGTGATTCCAAATTAGTGGTAAATCAACTTCTTGGTATTTATGATGTTAAAAAACCTGAATTGATCCCATATTATAAGTATGCAAGATAACTCATGGGATATTTAGATAATGTCATTATAGAACATATCCCTAGGAATTTCAACCAACAAGCTAACTCTTTGGCAAGATTTGCGTCCATGATCACTCTACCTTCTCATCGAAATCAAATTTTAATATGTCAAAATTGGGTCATACCTCCGATGTTTGATGAAGAGGATGATGGTGAGGAAGAAAATGCTTATCATATTTTTGTCCATGAGATTAAAAAGGAAGATTGGCGTCACCTCATCATTGATTACCTTGATCATGGAAAGTTACCAGAAGATCCCAAGAAAAAGGTCGATATACGTCGTCGAGCGCCACGTTTCATTTACTACAAAGGGACGCTTTACCGAAAATCATTCGATGAGGTGTTTCTACGATGCCTTGGAGAAAATGAAGCCATGCAAGCAATGGAGGAGGCTCACTCTGGGATATGTGGTGCTCACCAATCTGGCCCGAAATTACACTTTCGCATTAAAAGAATGGGATACTACTGGCCAACGATGGTAAAGGATTGTATCGATTTTGCTAGAAGATTTCAAGCTTGTCAATTCCATGGCAATTTCATCCGCCAACCTCCTGAACCATTGCATCCAACTGTGACTTCTTGGCCCTTTGATGCTTGGGGTTTGGATATAGTTGGACCGCTCCCAAAGTCTTCTGGAGGGCACATTTTCATTTTGGCAGCAACAGATAATTTCTCACTCTGGAGGCTCACTCTGGAATATGTGGTGCTCACCAATCTGGCCCGAAATTACACTTTCGCATTAAAAGAATGGGATACTACTGGCCACCGATGGTAAATGACTGTATCGATTTTGCTAGAAGATTTCAAGCTTGTCAATTCCATGGCAATTTCATCCGCTAACCTCCTGAACCATTGCATCCAACTGTGACTTCTTGGCCCTTCGATGCTTGGGGTTTGGATATAGTTGGACCGCTCCCAAAGTCTTCTGGACGGCACATTTTCATTTTGGCAGCAACAGATAATTTCTCAAAGTGGGCCGAAGCGGTTCCTTTAAGAGAGGTCAAAAAGGAGAATGTAGTAGATTTCATTCGCTCACACATCATTTATCGGTATGGAGTCCCGCGTTATATCATCACCGATAATGGTAAGCCTTTTTGCAATGTAGCAATGAACAAGTTTTGCGAAAAGTTTCATTTCAAACAATACAATTCGTCCATGTACTACGCTGCCGCAAATGGACTCGCGGAGGCATTCAACAAGACCTTATGTAATCTGTTGAAGAAAATCGTGGATAAATCGAAAAGGGATTGGCATCTTCGAATTGGAGAAGCACTTTGGGCATACCGAATTACTTTTCGAACTCCCACGCAAGCGACCCCATACCCGCTTATTTACAGTGTTGAAGCTGTTCTTCCACTTGAGTGTCAAATACCTTCGCTAAGAATTGTAATTCAAGAAGGGCTCAGTGAAAAAGATAATGTTCGTCTTCGCCTTGAGGAGTTAAAAGCACTCGATGAAAAGAGATTGGAAACTCAGCAACGGATTGAGTGCTATCAGGCTCGCCTTTCAAAAGCATTCAATAAGCACGTTCGACCTCGCTCTTTCCAAATTGGAGAGTTAGTGCTCGCCGTTCGGAGACCAATCATTCTCACTCATGGAGGATAAAGAAAGTTTACTCCTAAGTGGGATGGTCCATATGTTGTTCGAGAAGTATATACAAATAGCTCATACAAGTTGGTTGCTGAAGATGGATTAAGGGTTGGTCCCATCAATGGCAAGTACCTAAAAAGGTACTATGCGTAATCGAAACCGCGCGATACTCCTGACCCGCATGAGCTAAAACTGTGGATGTCAACCACCAATAGTGTAGTATGTGGTTAAACTGCTGAAACACTCCACCAAGTCTAAGATGGTAAACAAATAGATACTCCTGACCCGCATGAGGTTAAAATGTGAACGGCAGGAACTACGTGTGACTTGATTCCCTTGTTGGGATATGTAGGCAGTTTGGAGGGCAACTTCTAAGTTCAGTTACACCACTCCAAATCAAATCATTGTTCCTTGCAAAAAAAAAAAAAGAATCTTCTCTTTCTAAAAAAAAAATATAAAATAAATAAAATGCTCCATTTGAGTTCTTGTATTCTTAAAAAAAAAAAAAAAGAGATAAGGAACGGAAAGCATTTTATTATTCAAAAAAAGGGAAAAATTCATTACATGAAAAAAAAAATGAAACAAATTCAGAAAAAAAGACATGGTGAAAAGCCTAAATGTCAAATTTGTAATCCACTACAACTATTTTGCATGATTCAAGTGCAGACTTCATGTTTTCAAATTCGTTCACTGCGTCATCAGTCAAGATGCCGGTACTTTCAATAGAAGAGAGCTCATCACGTGCCCGGGTTACTTCAGTCCGGATCTCCTCAAAAGTTTCATACTTTTGATCTATAGTTGAGCTGATTTTCAGGCCTTGTTTCTCCAAATTAATAAGTTCCTGTTGCAACACTTTTTTCCTGTCTTTAATGGACTGCAACTTTTCTTCAAGACTTTGCAGATGACAAGTTAGGTCTTCTTCCTACGCCTTGGCTCTCTCGAGTTGGGCGGTCACTTTGGAAAGGAGTTCTGTATGTGCTTCTTTACTCATCTTTTCCTGTGATGAAGGTGCCAAAACATCATATGTCTCTGCCTTGGCAAATAATTCTAGTAAATAATCTTTTAAAGGGAGACCATTGGTAGGATCCGTTCTGGTGATTTCTGCAATAATCTCCTCCGTACACTCTTTTAAAGAAGAGATCTGCTCAATAGGAGTGTCAAGAATCTGCCCGCGAAAATCGATCCACAAACTCTGCAAATATCTCTTTCGATGCGCTTGGATCAATTTTTGCCCATGAAATTCTGAAACCAGTGCTGGTTTAGGCCTCTTTTGGGTCTCGTGCGAACCAGTTAACTCCTTCTTATACATTGATGAGGTACCTCCACTGGGGGCAAATTGTTTTGGAGTACTGACATGTACTTCGTCACTTTTATTGTTTGAAATTATATCATCAGTTTCGAGTTCGGGTGGTAAATTGTTACCAACACCTTCTTGATGGAATTCAAGAAACGGGGGCTGGAAAAAAAAGAAGTTACAAAAAAAAAAAGAAAAAAATGGAGAGATGATTACCTTAAGTGGCGACACTCCAACTGACAGTGGTGTAAAGGAAACCTCCTCCAAATCAGAGGATGTCCTCTTCTTTGATCGATTTCAATGACGGTCTTGACTACTGCTACCGCTCGCCAACGAATGGGCTCCTTCTTGGGTAGATTCGATGCCTTGAACTTGAATCCCTTCCTTTTCTATGGCTTCGATAGAGTCACGATCGTCCACCGTTTCGATTTCGACATCTTCTTCTGCTCACCGATAAGGATTTTGAAACTTTGGGCGGCGTCTTCTTTGCTGGAATCACTGGTTGTGCCTCTTTGATAGCCTGTCGAGAGTTCTTGGAAAACTTATTTTTTGCGGCAATATTTTTCGAGGGACTGCTAATAGTTTTGTTCTTCCGCAAGGTGGATAAGGTAAGACCTGTTACAATCTCTATAGCTCCATTATGATGCACTGACTCGTTGGCGGAGGTAACCTTACCCTTCTTCGATGATTGCTGAGGGATTTTAATGGTGAATTTAAAGGAAGTTGAAGAGACACTATTTGACCGAGTCGACCACCAAGCGTCATAGTCTTTTGTGATCAATGGATGCTTCCTGTGCGTGGGTATAGTCATCCGAGATCGCGTCTGCATACGAACTGAGGAATCCCATAGTTGAATAGCCTCACCCAAGGTATAAGTGTGAGTGATCTCTTTTAAGTTGTTGGGGATGTCCTGACAGAAGCCGAATTGTCTGCTAAACCTGCAAGGATTATATTTTTCAATAATGAAAGTATTGTCCTTACGTAGAGTTAAA